TTTCATCGTAAAAACGCACACTGCAAGAGCTGTCTTGTCGGGACTCGGTCAAATTTTTGAGTGGGATAATCTTCCTTCCGTTCTACCCAGAAATCTCTCTCCGCACACATTAAGCGACAACCGTGGCCACAACGAAGCATACCAGAACAACAGCTTGCATTTAAGTGCCTTACCATCTTGGTGTTCTTTGATTTCAAAAGTGCGTTCGATTCTGTGGGCCGATTCGTTCTCAGCAGGCTTGCTCAACACGGTATACTCCAGGAGTTCGTCAATACCATACTTGTGGGTAACCCTCTAAAAGCTTTACTGCATGCAGTAGTTCCTACTAGGCGTCTAGTCTCTCCATTTTATTTAATTTCGTTGTTGGTGAAGTAGTCAGGCGAACTCTGGGAGGTATTCAGAACAATAACATTGTTGGCCTGGACTATGCAGATTACGTTGTTCTCATTTTTGAAGTAGAGCAGGAAGCACAAGTATTACTTCCTCATCATCATCAACAGCATGTTCAGCACCTATGCTTCGCTGCCGCACAACCATGACTTATTTGAAAACCTTATTGTGAAGAAAAGAATAAAGGTGGATGGGGAAGGGGCTTGGTACTAGTTTTCTACAATCCTTCCAAGGTGCCTGTACCTCCAGATACTCATTCAGGCAATACGGACTGAACCTAACAACAAGAACCACACTGACATCGGTTGAATTCCGTGCCTTGCACCGTCCCCAACCAGGTACAGTAGCGACTACACTGTCCCCTTCTTAGAAGACAAGTGGCATGGGCGGCACCCAAACGTTTCGTAATCTCCTTCATACTCCTCTGCCAGGTCAAGGGTAGGCCAACTCTGCTCCCGCCACTCTGACTTGGAAATGGATAACAACTCTTTTCGGCGTACGCAACACATGGTTCAACCATCCCAGCTTCTGGTGCTGGACACACTCCAATGGAAGTACCCGTTACACAACCGAAAACCCGCTTTCTAATTGCCTCGTTACGGATTCGCCGACACCGACCCACACCAGCTATGGTTCTGAGACAACGATTGTCGAACACCTGAAGACGTCTCAGTTTCGCTGCTCGAACAGATCAGGTCTCACAGCCATACAACAAAACAGCCCGCAGTGTAGCTTGATACACACGTCCCTTGAGATTCAGGGATAAACCATTCTGTGACGCCATAGGTGTCTCAAATTAGCAAACGCGACCCGGGTCCTTACAGATTCGTGCATTCACCTCATCTGTCGCACTACAAACAGAACTAATGCACCAAGATACGTAAAGCACTCCACAATTTCCAGTACCTCTCCCTGAATTGAAGTGTGTTCAGTGACTGCATATTCAGGAACATGACCTTACACGTTGTGTGTGCAAAGTGCATGCCAAAGGACGGGATGGTTTTGGTCAGTTCACCCAACACCCGTGTCTTCTCCCCTTCAAACATGAGAACGATGTCGTCTGGATATTCCATATTGACAAGCATTACTCGCAAAGCTGTTTGAGTTTATCCAGTTTTTCTGTATGCTCTTCGCGCCCACACAATGCAAAGTCATGCAGCGGGAGGTGCAGTCTTTGAACATGCCTATAGTAATTCACGGAGTGGCACTAGAAATTTCGGAATGCCACATGTATCTCGGAGGTTTCATTGGCTGTGACGAAGTCAACGTGTGAATCTTCAAGGCTATAATGGCATTTGCTGCATTGCATCACTTGTGGCATCAAAAAGATGTCACTAGAGTCTCAATGGGCGAGATGGCCCAAGTGGTTAGAGTGCGAATTTGCTGACCGGAAGGGTCGTTGTTCGAACCCGACCTCTGCCTCTCGACTTCCCCTGTCTAGGCTTGGGCAACCTAACAGTATCCCAGCCCTCGTGCTTCCTTTGGGTAGCATGGTAGCTAGGCACCGGATGGGTGTTACAGCTTAGAGGTTTCTATATCAAACTACATTGCGGACTGTATTGTTGCGTGGCTGTGAGACTTGACTTATACTGGGACGAGATTGCCAACCCTTTGCATAGTGCTGGGAATTTCGCCTGTGGCACGACCCAACCAGGCACACTCAAGCCCTGGATATCAGACCGAACAGTGGCACTATTTAAATCTCGAAGAAATATCCCAGTTAGTTGCGAACGTAACCCGGTGCGAAGAGTTATCAGACGTCAAGTGAAAGTGAGCTTGCGATCCGACCATGAAGTATGGTGGGCACAGAAAGCCGAAGAAATGGAAGAAGCCCAGAAAGCCGGTAATGCCCGAAGATTATTTCAGTTGATCCGTGCGACCGGTCCCCGGAAACCGCCTTTGAGTGAACCCATCAAACATCAGAATGGAATGATCATCTAGAACAGAGAAGAAGGCCTCGATCGGTGGGCTGAATACTTCGAACAACAAATGTCGTGGCCACCAGCCGGCACTCATCTAGAGGCCACAGGCGAAGTGGAACCCTGGACGGTGAACGTGAAACGACCTAAGGCCTCGGAGTTTACGACTGCATATGTTCTCTCAAGCACCACCGA